CACTAGTCGACGAACACACACACACACACACACGCACACACACACACACACACACACACACACACACGCACACACACACACACACGCACGCACGCACACACACTTACTTGTCATGGGAACGGCCTCAAACTCTGGGTTGAGCTTGCCATCGCCCTCCTCCTCGGCGCGGGCGTCGGCCATCTTGATCTGTTTCTCCTGGAACTCCTTGTCCTTGGCCACGGTGACGGTGAGGACGCCGTGCTCGCAGGTGGCCTTGACGTTCTCCACGTCTGTGCCGGCCGGCAGGCGGAAGGTGCGGCAGAAGGTGCCGAAGGAGCGCTCCATCCTGTGGAAGTGCTGGCCGGTGCCCGTGGTGCGCTGCTTACGCTCGCCAGAGAGCTGCAGCAGGTCTGTCGTCACGCGCACGTGCACGTCCTTGGAGGAGAGGCCGGGGCAGTCTGTGATGAAGACATACGAGTCGTCCGTCTCGTAAATGTCGACAGGGCCCATAAAGGGGGACGTGGCGTGGTGAACGGCCTTGCTTGGCTTTGAGCCAAGCGTCACGGGGTCATACTTGAAAGGCATCCTGCTGGAAGTGGATTTGAAGATGTGGCGGGGGGGGGAAGGGTTTCGCTTGCAAAGAAAACGGTAGGCTGTGTGTGTGTGTGCGTGTGTTCTTTCAAGGTGAACATGCACAAAGAGAGAGAGAGAGAGTGTGTGTGTGTGTGTGTGTGTGTGGTGAGGGGAGGAAGGAGGTAGGATTCGCACCGCAACGAGAAAGAGCGCACAGTGTGCATCCAATGTGAGTGGGTTGGAGACGTGGTAAAGCAATAGGGAAGCAAGTAAACGAGGTAAAACACAAACAAACAAACAAACAAACCAACCACACACACACAAGCCACGCACACATGCACACACAACTCACCGAAACGAGAGATGAATGAATGGCGTCGTTGACCAGGTGGAGAATAAAGTGGCCAATGCAAACAAGCCAAGCGAGTCAAGTGGTTGGAAGGTGCAAGTGAGGAGACGCGAGTGTATTGTGTGTGTGTGTCGGGGGTTGATGAATGCCTTGCTGAGTATGTAACGTGTACACCATGCAATCACTCTTCCCATCTCATGCACTCATCACGCTGGCTGGCTGTTGTGGGTTGTTTCTCTCTCATCAGGGAGCAAGGCAAGGCAAGGCAAGAAGGCACGGCAAGACGAGTAAGCAAAGCAAGCAAAGCAAGCAAGGAGGCAACGATCAGGCAAAACCCACCTCTTGCTTGTTTGCTTGTTTGCTTGGAGTGGTCGACAGTGGAAATGCAATCAAGCAATCACTCAAAAGCCCTGACGCAACGCAATCGCCATCGTCGCCACAGCAAGACAGGACAGGACAAAAACATTCCAAACACGACACCACAAAATGGGTCGCACACTTCTCCACCATCCATGATGATGATGATGGTGGTTGTGCACATGAGGTGCGTGCTATCAGAACGACAGGCGCGTTCACGTCACGTCATCACTTGTCACATCAACGACTTTAATTATCGTACAGTTTCAGTTAGAAAAAGACAAACATCCCTCACCCTGCACACACACACACACACACACACACACACACACACACATACACGTCACGTTGTAGCCTTGTGCCTGTCCTGTGAAGCCAGTCGCGGTGCAATCCCCACAACCACACTGCTGTTCCTGTCACGTGTGCTTGTTGGGTACACGCATCTTGCGTTGCTTGTGGGCAACACGCACAAGAGATTCCTGGTCACCGCCACGCATCACGTCACCACTCCACTGTTTCGGCGCGTTTTCCGAATCCTCCTCATCGTCATCGTCGCTGCTCCAGTCCCCCTTTGGCTCGCGCTTGAGCTTCAGCCTGTCCCTGCCCGCACCCACACGCGAAGAAGCATCGCCTGGCATCTGCACTGACTGCTGCTGCTGCAGCTGGTGCTGCATTGATGCTAGAGTAGTGGTGGTGTTGTTGTGGTGGGCAGGGGACCGTGTGTTTTGCTTACGGTCATTGCTTGCTGTTTGGCTCAGCGTTGCCTTTCCCACGGGCGATGCAGCTGTTGGCGTGTTTGATGTGGTGGGGGCGCCGTGCTTCCTGGGCACGGAGTCTTGGAGAACACGAGGGTGTGCGTGGCGTGTGCTGTTGCCGTCCTGGGCCGCCTGCCGCCTCCTCCGCAGAAAGTTGGCAAACGTGCCCTTCCTCTGTGCTGTGAGGTCTGGTTGGATTGCACGCGCCGGTGGGTGTGCTGGCAGCAGTGCGCTGTCGCCACACGTATCCATCGTCAGCGTGCCGAGCAGGCCCATCCCGGGATCCAGCTTTGACGCCTCCGTAAGCTTACTTGATAGCGCGCTCAAGTCCATGTCATCTCTACCGAGTTTTTTTGTGCGAGTATGTGAGTGAGTGAGTGAGTGTGTGCGTGTGTGTGTGCGTGTGTGTGTGTGCGTGTGCGTGTGTGAGCATGTGTGTGCGTGTGAGTGAGCGTGGGTGTACGTGTGTGTACGTGTGTGTGCAAGTATGTGCGTGAGTATGTAAGCGGTTCAATGAGGCACTTGTTTTGTCAGCGAGTACACTGAAACAGAATCATGTGTGTGAGTGGGTCGAGGCAACAAGCGCTGAAGACACCAACCCCACACTGCATCAAGTACAAGTCTTAACAAGCAACGAGAAACGCATAAGATCCGCACTCGTGGGCCGCGTTCTCCGTTGTTGCCGCTTCAACCAAGTGTGCATACAATGTCTTGGCCGACACCACACCTGTAGGTGTGTGCGCGCGCGTGTGCGCGTGTGCGCGATGCGTGAGTGAGGCATCACAAGACAGACAGCGTCACAAGACAGACAGCGCCGTGGTATACTGATTTGCACGCAGAGCGTGCGGCCACCAGTGCCAGCATAAAATATAACGCGAACCTGTGTCGTGTGTGTGCTTGCGCGTCCATTCCAGCAGTTGCTTGAGCGCATCTCGAAACCCGCACACATACGCCAACCGAATCTCCTTTGCACGCACTGCAATCGAACGCCCATGCGCGTGTGTCAGGCGTGGTGTAAAGAGAGGGCAGAGAAGCATGCATGGTGACAGGCAGAGTGTGAGAGCGAGACTGTGTGTGTGAGTGTGTGTGTGTGTGAGTGTGAGTGTGTGAGAGAGAGAGTGTGTGTGTGTGAGTGTGTGAGTGTGTGAGAGAGACAGGCACATACACACACAGACGCACACACAGGCACAGACGCACACACACACACACACACACATACACACACACACACACACACACACACACACACTCGCACCCACTTCGGTTGAGTTCCGCGAGGGACATGCGCGCCTTCATCATGCCCTGGTCGTAGTGCATGTCGTCCACGTAGTGCCAGCCAAGGTTTTGTCGGCGCCGTGCCGCCGCGTCAGGATCGTGCGCACGCAGCGCAGTGCGGGGCGTCGCTGGTGGGTGCGGATATGGGCGCTCACCTGGATCCGTGCACGCCGCTTGCTCCTCCATCTCCAGCAGCTCGCGCGCCATGGCGCTGACCAAGGAGAACGTCACGCGCACGTGGTCCGCCAAGCTCAGAACCCGGGCAGCCATGATCTGGAACGCATCCACCCGACCAGCACGCTTCGTCGTCTCACACCGCTTCTTGCACCCTACACAAGCATGTGTGCGTGCGTTTGGATGAACAAGTGCTCGTGTCTGCTGCACATGAGGCATGAAAGCAGACACAAGATGCTTCCACACACACACACACACACAGACAGGCAGGCAGACAGACAGACAGACAGACACACACACACACACACAGACAGACAGACATACAGACAGGCAGGCAGACACACACACACACACAGACACACAGACACACAGACACACAGACACACAGACACACAGACACACACACAGACACACACACACACACACACAGACACACACACACACACACACACACACACACACACACACACAGACACACACACACACACACACAAAGCAATACGTACGGTCCATGAGCGGGCTGAGGGATTCCACGACGGTGTGAAAGGAGTGCTGCATGTCAGACGTGAGCGTCCAGTGCGCATCCTCTGTTGCTGCCACCCCAGCTGTCCGAACAGGGAACCTCCACACCTTCCGCAGCCCACCACCAACACCCCCACCATTGCTGGTGCTTTTGCTCTGTCTCTCCATCCTTCAGCAACGTGCTTCTTCGTGTTTGTGCGCGCTTTGCTGTTCTGGCGACGATTGTACACTTACTGTTGTTACGCCTGCCTTGCTTGACTTTTGGGTGTTGTTGTGTTGCGTTGTCTATTGAACCTGGTTGTCGCCAACGGCTGGCAACGAACGAACAGCCATCCACCCACTCAACGTGCACATCCATACACTCAACACACGACCACGAAGGAGGGCGCTAGCGTGCATGCAAACCAAGCAACGTGTGCTGGCAGAAGCGAACGAATCGAAGCCAAGCTTGGTGTTTCGAGCGCAAAGTGGAGTGAAGCAAGCAGATGACGCGCCAAACGCGGGTCATCACGGCAACAGCAAGCAAGCAAGAGGAGGAGGAGACGCTGTAACAATGGGGCCGCACACAAAACGCACACACACACCTGCGTGTGCCCAGTGTCTCCTCCAACACAACGCTGAAGCAACAAGCAAAGTAATGCAGAGCGAAAGAACGGAAATGCAAAACCAAACACACCACCGGCGACGAGCATTTAGGAATCAGCAGTGAAGAAGCAGGGCCCCACAGGAGAACAATGGTGATGGGGTTCACTACTGCTAAACAGGTATCATTAATGTAAAACAACAGGCATAAGGCATAAGGAAAGGAAAGGTGGGGATGATTAATTGTAACATGGATAATGGAAATGAGATGGCGCGTGGGACAGCAGGTCCACGCCAACAGCGCAAACAGCGCAAACACTCCCACATTACCAACACCTCCAAACAACAGCAACAACAACAACATCGTCACGGCCGTCATTGCTGCTGGAAGATGTGCTGGTGGTTTGGCTGCGATGTCCACAGGGTGTAGAGGAGGGAGGTGGCGTCGTCGAGGGCTGCAGATGCAGTGGCAATCTGCTGCCGCAGCTCTTTGTTGCGTCGGTTCACCTCCTGCATGCGCTTCTCCCGCTGTCGTCGCGTCTCGCGCGGGGCAAACAACTCGTCATAGCCAGTGGACGACGACGAGTACGAGTACGCCGACGGCGCGGGCGACGCGGCAGGCTTCATTGCAGACACCCGCGATCGTGGCTGCTGCTGCTGCTGCTGCTGCTGCTGCTGTTGTTGTTGTTGTTGTTGTTGTTGTTGTTGAGAGGGAAGGGGTTGGCACAAGTCTGTGAGGTTGTACTGGGAGGCGAGCATGGCCTTGATGTTGTCCATGAGCTGTGGGTCCGAGGGGACGTGCGTCAAACACGCAGAATCGTCCAGATTGAAGCTGCCACACGACATCAGCAGCGCATCGCCATCCGCAGCAGCGCACGACGTCGAGCCCACAGCCGGCATCTCAGTTTCCATCTGCTGCTGCTGAGGCTGCTGGGTTGCGACAGCGCTCGCGTGGCTGTCGCTGTGGTCGCTCAGGGCAGGCGGCGGCGGCGGTGCCATGGGCAAGCCGGCCAAGTCGCACGGCCCCACCTCAAAAACATCGTCCTCGTCGTCTTCGCCCAAGATGAACGAGACGCGGCTGGAAAAGGCGCTTCCGTCGTCAGCCGCCGCGGCGTCACCGCCCTCCACCATCTTTGACATGCTCGGGATGGAGGCTCCGAGGCACATGGTGCTGTGGAAGATGCTGCTGCCTGTGGAGGGGAGGTTGCGGCGGGCGCTTGTCGCTGCGGTGGCGACGGTGGCCTTGCTGTTGGTTGGCGAGCAGAAGCTGGCACGGCCCCACCACAACGAGGACGATGACGGCGTTGTCTGCATGGCCTGCGAGTGCGATTGCGATTGCGACTGCTCTCGCTGCTGCTGCTGTTCCACAAACGAGTGCAGCGGCTGAGCACCATATTGCTGCTGCTGCTGCTGTTGTTGCTGCTGCTGCTGCTGTTGTGGTTGGAGGGGTGCGAACTCTGCATCAAAGACTGTAAAGAGGTCGGAGAAGGAGGCGAGGCCCTGCATGGACGCCGAGGGCGCCATGGCGGACGCAGATGAGTCGCTTGTGCGCTTGGAGCGCTTATGGCGTGGCTCGCCAGCCAGCGAGTCTGTTGATGGCAGTATCATATCCGAAGACAGCTGCTGTTGTTGTTGTTGTTGTTGTTGTTGTTGTGGTTCCTGTGGGGAGGAGAGGAAGGCGGCCAAGCTTGCGCTGCTCGTGGCGCGTGAGGGCAGGGCGCGGGTGGCATCGAGCACGGATGAGTGGATCGATGACGGCTGAGTGCGAACGTGGTTCGTGTTGTTGTTGGTGTTGTTGGTTTGCTCGTGGAAGTTGTTGAAGAGCAGGGACACCTCCGTGTTCAAGGCAGGTGTCAGGGAAGGAATGACCCTTTGAAGGGATGCCATGGTGGCTTTGGCGAACTGCTGCACATGGTGTGGGCCAACAACCATGGTTGGTTGTGTGTGTGTGTGTGTTGTTGTTTGTTGTTGTTGTGGTGGTGTGTGTGGTGGTGGTGGTGTGTGTGTTTGTGTGTGTGTGTGTGTGTGTGTGTCGTGGTGTGTTTGTGTGGTAGTGTTTGAGTGGCGCGTGGTGTTGTTGTTGGAGTGAGGAGGAGGATTGGTTGGAAATTGGGCGAAACGAGGCAAGACAAGGCAAGACGAGGCAAGACGGCATCAGGCTAAGGCAAAGGCAAAGGCAAAGGACGAGCCCAAGCAAGCACCAAAAAAAAAAAAGTCTCAAGGTGGGGTGCAACCACCATCATGCAGCCGTCATGACGGCCACAAACAAACCACCCAACACCACACACAAACACACATCTGGCTGGCTTACCACGCAAGCGGGAGGCGAGTGAGAGGAGTGGTCAGGTCTCTTTTGTGCTGTGTGCGCTCTGTGCAAGTGGGGGAAATGCATGGAAGAACGGAAAAGAGACGTACGTGGCAAGCCAACGCAAGCTGTCGTGGAAATTGCCTGCAATCGCCCGTCATCTCACACCGCCATGACGCACAAAATGTGCGCCTCGGTCGTGCGCGAACCACAGCAGCAGAGGACCGGTTTCCTTTGCGCTGTTTTTTTTGCTGACTCATCATGCCGTGACTCCCAAAACCAGTTGCAAATTGTAAAACGCTTGGTTGTGGGTTTTGCAATTTGCAACACAACCATCTCCTCCATAAACACCCGCCCTCCCCTCTTCCCACGAACAAGAAGATGGCTCGGACTGCTGCTGCTGCTGCTGTTGCTGTGCTGTTGGTTGCGGCCTGTGTGGTGGCGCCTTCGATGGCGCTTCCCTTCACGGGCAGCACCAACGCCGCAGGCGGAAAGAACTGGGCCGTCCTCGTCGCAGGCTCCAAGTGCGTAGTCGTGTGTGTTTCGTGGTGCTGCGAATGTGTTTTGTCGTTGTTTATTGTTTGTCGTTGTCGTTGTTTGGTATTGTTCGTGGTGTTGTTGTTGTTGTTTGTTGTTGTTTGGTATTGTCGGTGTTGTGTCCTGAGCCCCCACCGGTCGTTGTGTTTCCTCCCTCCCTCGATCTCTCAATCTCTCAATCCCCCCCTCACACTCCCTCACACTCCCACACCCTCTCCCTCACCCTCACCCACTCATGTGCCATTGGTTAGCACGTGGGGCAACTACCGCCACCAGGCCGATGTGTGCCATGCTTACCAGGTCCTGATCTCCCACGGCTTTGATCCCGACAACATCATCACCTTCATGTATGACGGTAAGCTCAGGCGTGCGTGTGCTTAAGTTTGTGTGTTTGCATGTGTGTGTATGGTGCAGTGTGTGTGATTCGTTTCATGTGCTTTTGTGTGTATGTTTGTGTCGACAGACCTTTGACTCAGTCACGATCAGTCAATCCTACTCACTCGTACTCGCTCGTATTCACTCATGCTCACCCATACTCACTCGTGCTCACCCATACTCACTTGTACTCGCTCGTACTCACTAAAACTCGCTCGTACTCACCCACAAACACACACACGCAAACACACACGCACACACACGCACACACAAACCACCACCAGACCTTGCCCAGAACATCCAGAACCCCAACAAGGGTGTGATCATCAACCGCCCCAACGGGCCCAACGTGTACCAGGGCGTGCGCAAGGACTACACCAAGAACGACGTCACCCCACAGAACTTCCTTAACGTCATCAAGGGCAACAAGGCCGCCATGTCCGGCATCGGCTCCGGCCGCGTCCTCGAGAGCGGCCCCAACGACAACGTCTTCATCAACTTTGTGCGTCCCCCGCAACCACAACCACACACAACACCATCCACATTGTGATCTCGCGTGCGGCTCTGCTTCACAATGTTTCCTATGCTTCCTTGTGTGTGTGTGTGTGTGTGTGTACGTGTTTGTGTGTATGTATGTGTGTCTCTGTGTGCGTGTATCCTCGTTGTGGCTTTTCCCACCTTCCATTCTATTTCCAAACTGCAAACCTCACCGACCGTGCCAACGTCACAACAAACGCACTGCAGGTTGACCACGGTGGCCCCGGCATCATTGCGTTCCCCTCGGACGTGCTGCAGGCCTCTGACTTGAACAACGCCCTCAGCTACATGAACCAGAACAACATGTACGCGCAGCTGGTCTTCTACCTCGAGGCCTGCGAGTCGGGCTCCATGTTCCAGAACATCCTCCCCACCAACACCAAGATCTTTGCCACCACCGCGGCCGACGCCACCCACTCCTCCTACGCCTGCTACTACGACTCCACCCTCCACACCTACCTCGGCGACGTCTACAGGTGTGCAGACAGTCTGTCTGTTTTGTTTGTTTGTTTGTTTGTTTGTATGTTTGTATGTTTGTCTGTCTGTCTGTATCTGTTTTGTTTGTTTGTTTGTTTGTTTGTATGTTTGTATGTTTGTATGTTTGTCTGTCTGTCTGTATCTGTTTTGTTTGTTTGTTTGTTTGTTTGTTTGTTTGTTTGTTTGTTTGTTTGTCTGTCTGTCTGTCTGTCTGTATCTGTTTTGTTTGTTTGTTTGTGTCCTTCTTTGTTGTGTATGTACTGCAATGTATACCTCGTAATGCCTCACCACCACCACCACCACCACCACCACCACCACCACCACCACCACCACCACCACCACCACCACCACCACGACGCATCTACCGTCGCCACTGCCACCACCAACAGCGTGAACTGGATGGAGAACTCCGACTCGAGCGATCTTCGCCAGGAGACGCTGTACCAGCAGTACACCATTGTCAAGCAAGAGACCAACACCTCCACCGTGTGCCAGTTTGGCGACACCTCCTTTGACAGCAGCCCCGTCATTGACTTCCTCGGCGGCAACAACAGCACCGCCACGCTGACACACCTGCACAGCGCCGACGGCCACATGCACTTCCGCCGCCGCCCCACCGCCGACGCCATCGACTCCCGCATGGTTGAGATTGACATTATGCTCAAGCGCATTGCAGAGGCGCGCGACGACCAGGAGACGCGCACGGCCCTGCAGCAGGAGCTCGTCAGCATGCTCCAGCTGCGCGCCGACACCCGCGCCCGCTTTGGGCGCATTGTGTCCCGCGTTGCTGGTGAGGACAGCGTGGAGCGCCACATGACGACCCGCCTCTCCCTTCCCGACTACACGTGCGTGGAGAAGGCCACGCGCGCGTTCCACGATGCGTGCCTCAACCTTGGCGCGAACGCGTGGGCGCTGGAGCACACAATGGCGTTTGTGAGCATGTGCTCGGAGGGCGCAGACCCGGCCGATATTGTCGCCGCCATCAACGACGACTGCTCCGTCAAGACGGTACGCGCTGATTGCGTGTAGATGTGTGTGTGTGTGTATGTGTGTATGTGCGTTTATGTCTGTCCCTGTCTCTCTCTCTCTGTCTCTCTCTCTCTCTGTCTCTCTCTCTCTGTCTCTCTCTCTCTCTCTCTCTCTCTCTCTCTCTCTCTTTCTCTCTCTCTCTCTCTGTCTCTCTGTCTCTCTCTCTCTCTCTCTCTGTAGCTCTGTTTCTGCTGCGATTTGACCCCGCTGCTCCCCTCCAATTGATTGCGCTGCCTTGCTCACACCATTGTCTTTGCATCACCCCTTGACAGATGAAGCTGAAGCTCTAAGCCGCTTCCCTTGCTCATCATCTCCCCAACCAACCCATGTGTCTCTCTGTCTGCCACACTTTGCGTTCTCTTGTTTTCGTGTACCGCTTCACCTTGCGTGCGTTCTTTGCTGCGTGTTTGCATCGGTCCCTGAAACGTTACGGTTGCAGGCGTGGCTTGTGCTCTTTCTTGTCCGTGCGCTTTGTTCTGCTTCACCCGCACCACACCGCAGTCACCACCACCACCCCATAAACACACACACCCACACCCACACCCACCCGATGAGGAAGCGTTGCTTCGTGGTTTGTGACTGAGCAAGAGTTAAGGGCGGTTTTCTTCTTGTTTGAGGTTGATCAGGGGCAAGCACACACTCATACACAGGGCAAGGCAGACACAGTGCAGCAGGTACACAGGGCAGTGGAAGAAGAAACAAGAAAAGCATAATGTGTTGACACCATCGACGACAACAATTCGCATACACACGTGCACAAAGGGTGGGGTTCACAGACGCACAAACACGAAGAACAAACACCCAACACTGCGCAAACAAACAGCCACGCAGTGCACACACGTAAAAGAACACCCGTGCTGCTGCTGTTGCGCGCGAGCCATGTACCTTTTGCTGCCACATGATGCAGTGTCCCGTCCCGTCGTGGCAGCGGTAGTGGTGGTTCAGTCGTCCTCGTCCTCGTCCTCGTCATCGAGGTCATCTTCCTCCTCCTCGGCCATCTGCGCCTCAAACTCCTCCTCCTCCTGCCGCGTCGGGTCAACCGCCTCTGCAACATCCTCTCCGCTGTACTCAACCTGCGCTGGCGGCGGCAGCTGCGGGCTGTGGCGGGTGAAAAAAAAAACAAAAAAAAACAAGAGCGAGTGTATGTGTGTATGTGTGTGTGTTGTGTATGTGTGGTGTGGTGTGGTGTGGTTTGTGAGATCTCGCGGTGAGCGAAGAGCGCAAAGCCAAGAAGCAGCAGCAGAAGAGCCGCTGAACAAGTTGGCGCAGGGCAAAACAAACAAACAAACAAACAAACAAACAAACAAACAAACAAACAAACAAACAAACAAACAAACAAACAAACAAACAAACAAACAAACAAACAAACAAACAAACAAACAAACAAACACACAAACCCTGCACTTGCCGCCCCACTCCACCCACGCGCTTAACACGACTAACCTGAACGGCTCTGCCTGGTACTTGAGGCCATCGCCAATGTAGATGTTGGCAAACTTGCGGTCGACAGCAAAAGCGTGTGCGCCCGGCCATCTGTTTGAGGACACGCGCACGCACGCGTAGGCCGGATGCGCGGTGCTGGAGAGGCGGGTGGACCACGCAGGCAGCCCGTCCACATCTGAAGTATGAGGGGAGAGAAGGGGAGAAAGAGCGTGAGGAGTAATGGTGGGGATGATGAGGATGTGGTGCAATGAGTCGTTATTGGTGTGCATTGCACAGCTCGGGTGGTTTGGGGGGGGGTGTTACACACGCACAAACGAACAATTGGGGAGAAAAAAAAAGAAATGGAGACCAAGGTCCACATAAATGCACAAAGCTGCAGGACACAAACAGATGAACGCAAACACACACACACACACACACACACACACAGGTAGACACACACTAACACATGCAAACACGCACGCACACACACACACATTAACACACACAATTACGCACCGTCGTCGTTCTGGAGCGGGGTGAGGAGTGGTGGGCCGGCCTCTGGCTCAATCTCTTCCTCCTCCTCCTCGTCTTCATCTTCGTCCTCCTCATCAAGCTCATCCTCTTCGCCCTTGAGGTTCGGGTTGACCCACTTGCTGCGACCCTGCGGCAGAATGTACGGCGCGTGGTGCACCCACCCCGAGAGGTCTGCCTCCAGCAGCTCCGCAAGCGACTTGCCCTCAAACTCCTCGTCCACAATGAAGTTGTCGCGAGCTGCGTGGTTGGTGTGGTTGGAGGAAGGAGGGGAATGGAGAGGGGTGAATGTATTGTGAGAGCGCTGTTTGCTCGTGGACGTTTGGGCGTGTTGATTCGGGGTAGATGCAAGCGCCTGTTCACACACGATATTGCAGCAAGACGGAAACGCACACACACACATGCACACACACTTTGCCTCACACAGCCATGCAAACACACATTCACACCACCACCACGACCACCACGACCATCTTCGCCACCACCACCACGACCATCTTCGCCACCAGCGCACCTTCGTCGTCGCCGTCGTCCTCCTCCTCGTCAAAGGTAAAGTACCCGACAGGGCTGACGTGTGTGCCGGCGGTGATACGGGCAATCTGCGCGCGAAGCAGTTCCATCTCCGTGCCGGCAAACGGCGGATATGCAACCACTGGCGCGTCCAGGCGGCCCGTGAAGCGCTTGCGGATTTGGCGGCACACGGAAATGTGCTTTGGCTTGACATTGGGGAGGAGGTGCCACTCCTGCCCGGGTTCGTTGCACACAAAGTACACCTTCTTGTTTGTGCCGGCGCCGTACTCCTCTGTGGGGAGGTCGGGTGGGGGCTTGTATGTCGACTTGGGCAGCGGGGTCACCCCGTTCTCCTCGTCCTCCTCGCCCTCGTCAGGCGTCTCCGGCTGCTCATCCGGTCGCTCCTGCACACGTGACATTGGCGATGAAACGTGAGCATCCACGCAAGCGCAAGGGGAGTCGTTGATGCACATGTGTGTATGTGTATGTGCGTACGTGCGTACGTGCGTACGTGCGTATGCGTGCGCAGGTGTGCAGCTGAGCGGGCACCCACAACGAACTACAAAACACAAACACGCACAGCGACACCCAGCAACCACACCAACACACACACACATTCACTCAAACTCAACACACATGCATGCGCACACATAAAACCACACACACACACACACGCACACACGTTTTCACACACACAAACACGCACAGCGACACCCAGCAACCACACCAACACACACACACACACACATTCACTCAAACTCAACACACATGCATGCGCACACATTCACTCAAACTCAACACACATGCATGCGCACACATAAAACCACACACACACACACACGTTTTCACACACACACACACACACGTTTTCACACACACGCGCGCACTCACACACTCAGACCAGACCTCTTCCTCTGGCTGCGGCTCTTCGCCCTCGCGGTACTCGGCTTCTGCAATGATGTAGTCCTGCTCTGTGCCAAAGATCTTGCCCCAGAATGTGACGGACTTGAGCGGCTGCTGCTCTGCCAACTGCTTCAGTGCAAGGAAGATGCGGAACATCTCTTGCTCCCCCAGGCCGACGTCAGCGTCGGCAAAGTACCGCGCAAGGTCAAGCAGGTTTGGCACCACCTGCTCCGGCTCTGCCTCATCTTCGGGAATCTCTGTCTCGTGCTTCAGCAGCGTCGATCTCGCCTTGGCCGTCAGCACGTTGTCTGGCGTCTCCGGTTGATCCTGCGATGCATGCGTTGGTGTTTGTGTTTGCGGTGTTTGTGGTGGCAGTGTGCGTGATCATGTGCATGCGTGAGGATAGGGGTGCATGCGTGAGGATACGTGTGTGTGTGTGTTTGTGTGTGTTTGTGTGTGTGTGTTGTTTACGTTTGCATTGCTGCTCAACGAACACAAGTCGCACACGCTCACAGCACACGCTCACAGCACACACACGCTCACAGCACACGCACCTTGAGAGAGTCCTCTGGAGCAAACTTGTCGGCCTTAATCTGGAAGGAGAGCTGCTCGACAACATCTGCCGCGTTGTTTGGGCGCTCGTCGAGCAGGCGTGTGATGAGCGTGGACAGGTGCTCGTACACAGACAGGCCGCTGTGGTCGCTCGCCTGCAACAGAAAGGCCTTGGCCGATTCAAAGTCAGCCATGGTGATGTCTGTATGTGTGTGTGCGTATTGTGTATCGACTGCTTGGCAGCTGTGTCGCTTCGCTGGCTGGGAAGGTGACTGGAGTTGCTGGCTGTCGTGTCGCTTGGCTGCCTGATATCTGCTGGTAGTTGTGGTGGTGTTGTCTTGTGTGCTGTATGTGCTATGCTGTGGGAGGTTGCCAAGGATTGAAATGCAGGGCCAAAGTCAGGGTGTGATACGCACGAATGACGAAAATTTATGAAAGATATTCGCTGAATACTTGTTGGCAACGACGGCAACAACAAACAGGTGCGTCGCTTCTTCTTGTGTTGTTTGTCGTTGCGCGCAAAGGACAAGCAAGGCAAGCAAGGCTGACACGAACGAAAGCCCAGCAGCCAGCCAGCACGACCCACCCATATATTGTAGCCACCACCTAAGCACCCGACACACATCACCTCACACGTACACCCCACAGGCACATCGCACGTCCACCACACGTACACCCCACAGGCACATCGCACGTCCACCACACGTACACCCCACAGGCACATCACACCGCAGCACACATACATCGCACACCGCACACCCACGGTGCACGATGGGATCTGGTGCGAGCAAAGACCTGTCGGAGACGTCCAAGGCTCGCGTGAAGCAGTCGCGCACGCGTGCAGGGGCGGCCGGCGCAGGGCACTCGGATTACTTCCACGACATTTGCATGATTGTGTTCCAGAATGCAGATGCAGACAACAACGGCGTCCTGGACGTGGACGAGTTTGAGTCCGTCCTCTCCAGCGACACGCTCAAGCTCAACCTGAGCAAAGACGAGATGGAGCAGATTCGCCGCAGTGCAGACCAGGACGGTGATGGCAAGATCTCCTACGAGGAGTTCATCCCCGTCTTCAAGGAGGTCCTCACAGTCATCTACCAAGAGAAGGAAGAAGACTGGAACGACTGGTGCCAGGTGCGCGTGTGTGGGTGGGGCGTGTGTGTGTCGGTTTGTGAATGTGTGTGTATGTGTGTATTGTGTGTGTATGTGTGTGTATGTGTGCGTATGTGTATTGTGTACGTGTGTGGAGTGTGTTTTGTGTCTGCTTGTATTTGTTTGTGCGGTTGTGTCTGTCTGTTGCCTGTGTTAGTGCGTTGCCGCTTGTGGTCGCGTGCAAGCACCTGTTGTGTGTATCGAGTCATTTCAAGCGTGCCAACCCACAAGGTCGTCCCTCCATGTCGTTTCACGCCCACACATGCAACCGAACATGAACTCATCTCAAAACACACACACACACACACAATACACACAATACACACATTCACAAACCAACACACACAAACACACACACACACACACACACACACACACACACACACATACAACAAACAACACACACAACACACTCACACACAAACGCCTCTAGA